TAAACCCTAAACCGCCCCTTCGAGCGGAAAGCCAGAGCCCTGGAGAGCTAGACCTGCTTTGCCCTGCGCCCGCGTCAGCAAAAAACGCAACCTGATAGCCCTACTTGGAGGCCCAGGGGACGTAGTAAGTCGGTTATAAGTAGGGTTATAATTGGGGTAACTCCATTAGGGTACTTATGACTCCACTTATAACCTACTTACTAAGTCCCCTGGACCTCCAAGTACCTTAACCCTATAGGATTTAGGGTTTAGGTGTTCAGGGTTATAGTTATAGGGTCTAGGGTTTAAAGTTTAGGGATTTATGGTTTAAGGCTTAAGATTATGGCTTTATAGGGTCTAGGGTTCAGGATTTAGAGTGTTCCCAGACCCTCAAAACACCTGCCTCGTTCGGGTGCCGTATTCCGATTTCTTCAAACACGGGCTTAACATGGTCGGCTTCTTAGGGTCCAGGCAAATTTGGGGCCTGAATGCCTGAATACCTACCGGTATCGTTCCTAAGGGCTCGTGTTTATAAGCCTACTATAGTATAGTTTAGGGGTTTAGGGTTTAGGGTTATAGCCCAAACGCCTCAGGGTTCCTGTGTATAGGCCTACTGTAGTCTAGGTGTTTTCCAAACACCTCTATTCCACTTATATTAAGCCCGCTGAACATTCAGAGCTCGTAAACCCCAGGCCTCCTGGAATAAAGAAAACGCAACCCTGTCAACCACGAACCTGACTTCCTTCGACGCCTACATCCTTAAACCCTAACCTTTCAGTGAGCAGAAACAGCAACCAAAAAACCCAACACGTTAGAAGCCCCTTCTGCTAATTACCCTCATGAAACCACATCATGAACTTAAAAAGCCCACGGAAAGACAATCGAAGTCTCCCGCCGAAACCCCAAACCGAAACCCTAACCCCAAAACCCTAAACCTAAAATAACCATCACCCCAAAGCCCTAACCCCGAAACCCTAAACCTAAAGGAATCCTAAACCCTAACCCCGAAACCCTAAACTTAAAGGAACCCTAAACCCTAACCCCGAAACC